GCTGGGTCTGTCCGCTGCTTTTGATATGGTGAACTACCAGATCCTCCTGTCAACCCTATTGGAAAATGGCATCTTAGGAACCACACTCCAGTGTTTTGAGTCTTACCTCTCAGTTCCTTCAAGGTATCTTGGAGAGGTGAGGTGTCCAAGCAACATCTAGCTACTGGGGTGCCTTAGGGCTCAGTTCTTGGACCACTTCTCTTCTCTGTCTACATGGCATCACTAGGTTCTCTCATTCAGAAACATGGCTTTTCATATCACTGCTATGATGATGACACTCAACTCTACCTCTCATTCCATCCTGATGATCCAACGATAGCTGCTTACATCTCAGCATGTCTAACAGACATTTCTTGTTGGATGATGGACCATCACCTTCAACTCAACCTGGCTAAGACAGAACTGCTTGTGGTTCCATCAAACCCATAGTTTCATCACAATTTCACCAACCAGTTAGGCTCATCAACAATAACTCCTTCAAAAACAGCCAGAAACTTTGGAGTTGTGATTGATGATAAGCTGAATTTCTCAGACCACATGCCTAAAACTGCCCGGTCCTGCAAATTTGCTTTATACAACATTTCAGAATACGCAACACAACTCCTTTTTCATGCTCTTCTTCTATCCAGGCTGGACTATTGCAGTGCTCTCTTGGCAGGTCTTCCAGCCACTTCTATCAAACCTTTACAATTAATCCAAAATGCCGCTGCAAGTTTAATCTTTAATGAGCTGAAAAGAATGCATGTCACACCTCTGTTCATCAATTTGCACTGGCTACCAGAAGTTGCTCGCATAAAATTCAAGGCATTAATGTTTGCCTACAAAACCACCACTGGCTTTGCACCCCTTTACCTAAATACACTATTTCAGAGTTATGTGCACACTAGAAGCTTGCGTTCTGCAAGTGAACGGTGTATTATTGTGCCATCCCAAAGAGGCACAAAATCACTTTCACTGACTTTTTCATTAACTGTTCCCTCCTGGTGGAATGACCTGCCCAACTCATCCGAGCAGCTGAGTCCTTAGCCATCTTCAAGAAACGGCTTAAAACACACCTGTTCCATCTTTATTTGACCCTCTAACTCTAGCACTTTCTATTTTATTTTTAATTCAACTTTATCTATTTGTCTTCTTTTTTATTAAAAAAACTAACTCTATCATTCTATTTTTCTATTCTATCTACTTGTTTTTCTTGTTGTGTTTGTGTTTATATATACTGTATGCATATATATATATATATATATATATATATATATATACAAGGGTGTGTGTGTATATATATAGATATAAATAAATAAAAAATATTTTGCTACGTGTACTGCGTTAGGCTAACCGAGACTTGTCATTTGCACTTAAATATTGTTGCTCTTTTGTTAGTTCTGATTTCTTCTATTGTCCTCATTTGTAAGTCGCTTTGTATAAAAGCGTCTGCTAAATGATTAATGTAAATAAAAATGAAAAAATGTAGCGTTACCTCACTTGCTCACCAGTGGATCCTCTGAGTCCAAACATCTGATAAAAACATCACAGTGATATGTTCTGATGAATATGTTCTGATGAAGAAACTCATCTAAATCTTGGATGAACTGAGTAGATTTTCATCAAATTAAAAAATGTGTGAGATATTCCTTTAGGTACGTTCAAACCACCCTTCAAACTCACAGCATCGATGTTTTTATTCTTTCTCTTTCTGCAGGTACATCAGTTTTTCAAGTGACAGCGACTGACGCAGATGACCCTACATATGGAAACAGCGCACGGGTGGTGTACAGCGTTCTGCACGGACAGCCATACTTCTCCGTCGACCCCAAAACTGGTAAATTCATGACGACTTTTCATCTTGTGTCTGTGAAGGTGAATCAATAGTGCTTTTATTGCTTGCAGATTTAAAACTGCTGCTGCATTTCGTCAAGTAGGTGTGCAATTAAAAACTACACTGCCCAGCTTTTCATATGACTTGTTCATATTAGACTGTGAAGTTTGTTTCTCAGCTGTGAGCAATAAAATACACCACCGGCACCCTTCACTGTTCAGAAATAGAGCTTGACATGTGTGCTGTATTGTTTGAATCTCGGCTCTATAATGGAGAGCATCCCTGGAGAATGAGGTGGAGAGTAAAGGCTTTCAGGGATAAAGACAGACGGCTGGAGAGAGAACAAGATTTAGAGTGCTTTAAGATGAATTTGGTGTTCATTAGCGGTGGACATTGTTTAAGGGTTTTTACAAGGAACCATTAAATATTAATGGAGACACAGTTTGTTTTGTGTCAAGAAGCAAAAGTTAAGATAGCGAGAAGAACAAAGGAAAGACAAAGGAAGGGGTAAGGAAAGAAGTATGGAAGGAGTCATATAGGAAGGACAGATAAATACAGACAGAAAGAAAAAAGGGAGAAAGGAAGGGAAAAAAGGAAAAACAAAAATAATGAATGGAACAAAAGAAAATAGGAAGGACAAAGAAAAAGAAGGCAAGATATAAAGAAGGAAAAAAAGAAAGGAGGGAAAATGTAGTGGGAAGGAGGAAAAGAAACAAAGAAGCTAGGATAAATATAGGAAGGAATGACATAAGTCAGGACAGAAAAAAGCAAAGGAGAAAATAAGGATGGAAAGAGAAATATATTAAGGAAGGAATGAGAAAGACAGAAAATAAGGAATAAAATATAAAAAAGGGGAAAATAAGGAAGGAAGAAAAAGAAGGAAAGAAAAATGTACATGGGAAGGAATGAATATGGAAAGACAGGAAGGAAGAAAGGAAAAGTAAGTAAGGACATGAAGAAGAAAGGAAGGGAGATTGGAAAGATATATTGTAGGGAAGGAATAGGGAAGAAAACAAAAAAGGAAGGAAAGTTTGGGAAAAGCAAAAAGGGTTGGGAAGGAAACAAGTGAAGAGGAAGCAGAATGCAATAAAACCGTGTGCTGTAGACAGAGCTGTTTTTGACAGGGTGGAAACAGTGTTGTTTTACACTACCATTAAGACATGTTAACCAAACTATGTTACAGACTTTTCATTAAGACCCTAAAGAATCATATCAACTTGGGCATCCAAAATGGTTATGTGCACACTAGAAGCTTGCGTTCTGCAAGTGAACGGTGTATTATTGTGCCATCCCAAAGAGGCACAAAATCACTTTCACTGACTTTTTCATTAACTGTTCCCTCCTGGTGGAATGACCTGCCCAAATCATCCGAGCAGCTGAGTCCTTAGCCATCTTCAAGAAACGGCTTAAAACACACCTGTTCCATCTTTATTTGACCCTCTAACTCTAGCACTTTCTATTTTATTTTTAATTCAACTTTATCTATTTGTCTTCTTTTTTATTAAAAAAACTAACTCTATCATTCTATTTTTCTATTCTATCTACTTGTTTTTCTTGTTGTGTTTGTGTTTATATATACTGTATGCATATATATATATATATATATATATATATATATATACAAGGGTGTGTGTGTATATATATAGATATAAATAAATAAAAAATATTTTGCTACGTGTACTGCGTTAGGCTAACCGAGACTTGTCATTTGCACTTAAATATTGTTGCTCTTTTGTTAGTTCTGATTTCTTCTATTGTCCTCATTTGTAAGTCGCTTTGTATAAAAGCGTCTGCTAAATGATTAATGTAAATAAAAATGAAAAAATGTAGCGTTACCTCACTTGCTCACCAGTGGATCCTCTGAGTCCAAACATCTGATAAAAACATCACAGTGATATGTTCTGATGAATATGTTCTGATGAAGAAACTCATCTAAATCTTGGATGAACTGAGTAGATTTTCATCAAATTAAAAAATGTGTGAGATATTCCTTTAGGTACGTTCAAACCACCCTTCAAACTCACAGCATCGATGTTTTTATTCTTTCTCTTTCTGCAGGTACATCAGTTTTTCAAGTGACAGCGACTGACGCAGATGACCCTACATATGGAAACAGCGCACGGGTGGTGTACAGCGTTCTGCACGGACAGCCATACTTCTCCGTCGACCCCAAAACTGGTAAATTCATGACGACTTTTCATCTTGTGTCTGTGAAGGTGAATCAATAGTGCTTTTATTGCTTGCAGATTTAAAACTGCTGCTGCATTTCGTCAAGTAGGTGTGCAATTAAAAACTACACTGCCCAGCTTTTCATATGACTTGTTCATATTAGACTGTGAAGTTTGTTTCTCAGCTGTGAGCAATAAAATACACCACCGGCACCCTTCACTGTTCAGAAATAGAGCTTGACATGTGTGCTGTATTGTTTGAATCTCGGCTCTATAATGGAGAGCATCCCTGGAGAATGAGGTGGAGAGTAAAGGCTTTCAGGGATAAAGACAGACGGCTGGAGAGAGAACAAGATTTAGAGTGCTTTAAGATGAATTTGGTGTTCATTAGAGGTGGACATTGTTTAAGGGTTTTTACAAGGAACCATTAAATATTAATGGAGACACAGTTTGTTTTGTGTCAAGAAGCAAAAGTTAAGATAGCGAGAAGAACAAAGGAAAGACAAAGGAAGGGGTAAGGAAAGAAGTATGGAAGGAGTCATATAGGAAGGACAGATAAATACAGACAGAAAGAAAAAAGGGAGAAAGGAAGGGAAAAAAGGAAAAACAAAAATAATGAATGGAACAAAAGAAAATAGGAAGGACAAAGAAAAAGAAGGCAAGATATAAAGAAGGAAAAAAAGAAAGGAGGGAAAATGTAGTGGGAAGGAGGAAAAGAAACAAAGAAGCTAGGATAAATATAGGAAGGAATGACATAAGTCAGGACAGAAAAAAGCAAAGGAGAAAATAAGGATGGAAAGAGAAATATATTAAGGAAGGAATGAGAAAGACAGAAAATAAGGAATAAAATATAAAAAAAGGGGAAAATAAGGAAGGAAGAAAAAGAAGGAAAGAAAAATGTACATGGGAAGGAATGAAAATGGAAAGACAGGAAGGAAGAAAGGAAAAGTAAGTAAGGACATGAAGAAGAAAGGAAGGGAGATTGGAAAGATATATTGTAGGGAAGGAATAGGGAAGAAAACAAAAAAGGAAGGAAAGTTTGGGAAAAGCAAAAAGGGTTGGGAAGGAAACAAGTGAAGAGGAAGCAGAATGCAATAAAACCGTGTGCTGTAGACAGAGCTGTTTTTGACAGGGTGGAAACAGTGTTGTTTTACACTACCATTAAGACATGTTAACCAAACTATGTTACAGACTTTTCATTAAGACCCTAAAGAATCATATCAACTTGGGCATCCAAAATGGGCATCCGATAACCCCTTTAAGTTGGTAAAATGGTTTGCAATCACATTAACCTTGAAGCAAGAAACATTACCACACAGCCTCTGACATTATGCATGTCAAATCTCCCAAGTAGTTTCAACTAACATGCTGTTGATTTTCTTTTATTTGTCATAGAGGTAAAATATGCCGCTGTCCATGGTGCTGAAATGCTCTACTCCTTTATTGTAATTTATGGTACTGTCCATGGTGCTGAAACACCCCACGCTTCACTACTTTACCTGTCTCTCACAGACACAAGCATCTGAAATGCATAGTCATGACCACAATATAATGACTATTTTGAGAAATACTGCTAGAAGAGCAAAGAAGTTGTTGATGATAATCACTAGACACCTCACAGCCTTCACACAGGCTCTCGCAAATCCCATCCATCAGTACTGGCAGACTAGTGCTTTGATAATGCAGTCCATCCAGATTTGTAAACATTTGGCCTTTACTTAAGACTAATGCAGCATTTTGCAGGGGAACTGTGAAGAATTTTGTTTTGCACAGTTGTCAAGAGCATGCAGGCATATCAATGACTTTGGTGAGAGTTTTTGGAGATGAAAAGCTTAATGGAATTGTGGCGAGAGACAGTATCAGGTTTGCCAGACTGAGTTTATTTTAGATGGTGTACAAGGACTTAATGCATTCAGACAGGAGACATGAGAACCGATTGAGGGGATTGTATGAGAAAGAGAAAAAGACAAGAACGAAAGCCTTGCTTTAGTGTAGTGTCTGTTAGTGATACTTCACTTTCAATCTCTCACAAACTATCTTTCAGGACATTTAATACTGTAGTGTACACAAATATCCCATTTGGAGATGTATAAAATGAATATACTGAAATGTGCCAGCACATATCTTGAGTACCTCGAAAGCAACATGGAATAAAAATTTACCATTTTCTCTTTCTCAAGACACATTTATTTTTTTGTCGTATTTTGCATGATTCATCAGTTTACTCTAAAGAAATGTCTTCATAATCTAT